TTTTCCGTTTTACACTGGTAAATAATGGTGTTAACTAAGTAAGAAATTTCATGCTCTAAGGTTGAATTCAGGGCATTTTCACTACCAAAAGTTTTGTTATCAAAAGTTGAAAAATGATAAATAAAGTTAATAAAATATTGAAAAAGTGAAAAATAACTTTTTAAAAATAAATTATATTGTATTAGCTATCATTTATATAAGTTATCACTACATTTACTACACGTTTGGCGCAGTTATGCGAATGTTTCGAATTTGGGGCACTTTTGTCAACGATTGTACGTCCGATACATCCTTAAGAGTAAATATAAAAATCGAGATTAGATGACAAAATAAATGACAACAAACAAAACAACAAAGAAGGGTTAATGAGAGTTTTATCGCAGTAATTCTTGCGAAAAAGAAATTTATTACAATTTTCGATAAGATCAGACGTTTCGGCTTACTTTCGAACCATCCTCAGTATATCTGATTAATACAATGTAGAACCTTTTCCATGGCTAAACGAGAAAGTGATAACTCATTCCATCTCCCCTCATTATGACACAAGGTTGGCAATTCAAGTGGCAACGAAACGAAGATGAATTCCGCACAACCATGAGCACCTAAAACTTAAAAATTAAGATAATTCCGCAGGATGTACATATTACAAATTCAGAACATAATGCATGATTCGAGTATGAAATATATTTTATTTTGACTCATTTTCGATTGTTGACCGTCGTCATAATCGAATCATTATGTTCTAAATTTGTAATATGGACATTCTGCGGAATTATCTGAATTTTTAAGTTTTAAGTGTTCATGACTGTGCGGAATTCATCTTCGATTCATTGTCACTTGAATTGCCAACCTTGTGTCATAATGAGGGGAGATGGAATGAGTTGTCACTTTCCCGTCTAGCCATGGAAAAGATTCTACATTGTATTAATTAGATATACTGAGAATGGCTCAAAAGTAAGCCGAAACGTCTGATCTTATCGAAAATTGTAATAAATTTCTTTTTCGCAAGAAATTTATTACACGATAAAACTCTTATTAGCTCTTCTTTGTTGTTTTGTTTGTTAATATTTTCGAGAATTATTGTTATCAATAAAATAAATGACTAAATTGAACAATGGCATGGCTTATTTCGAGCTTATAATTAGAATAACTTAAATTAATATATTATAACGAACCGAGTAAATAACAAATACAATGTGTAAATCATCAATGATTTTTTTAATTTTATTGTATTTGTTATTTACTCGGTTTGTTAATTTAATATTATATTACTGCGTTTTAATACTGAAGAAACCTTTGTAAACCGAAACATTTGTTTAGGATATTATTTAGTATTTATATTTTTTTATATTTTTATATTTTTTTACGTTAATTATATTAATTTAAGTTATTCTAATTATAAGCTCGAAACAAGCCACGACATTGTTCAATTTAATTTTTTTATTAGATGTACAACTTTGCTTCCGCCGTTTTTTTCCGAAATACGAGGCTTTATTGTAAAAAACTGGTTATACATTTATGATCCAAAGTATTGTCCATCGCTGGCCACTACTTTCTCCCATCTTTCGGGCAGCGTACGAATCCCGCGTCGAAAAAATGGTCATTTTTTGAGACGATCCACGAATCGATCCAATTTTTTACTTCTTCATAAGATCGGAAGTGCTGGTCAGACAGGCCGTGTGCCATTGATCGAAACAAGTGATAGTCAGAGGGAGCAACGTCTGGAGAATACGGCGGGGGGGGGGGGGGGATCAACGTTTCCAAGTATGTCTTGACCACTTTCGCAACATGGGATCGAGTATTGTCATGCTGCAAAATTACTTTATCGTGTCTCTCGTTGTATTGCGGCCGTTTGTCTTTCAATGCTCGGCTCAAACGCATCAATTGCATTCGATACCGAATGGCCTGTGATTGTTTCAGTCGGTTTTAACAGCTCATAATACACTACGCCGAGCTGGTCCCACCAAATACAGAGCATGACTTTGGAGCCGTGAATATTCGGTTTGGCCATCGTGGAAGCATGGCCGGGAACTCCCCATGATTTTCTGCGCTTGGGGTTATCGTAATGAATCCATTTTTCGTCCCCAGTCACAATGCGATGAAGAAATCCCTTCCGTCTTTGCCTTTCAAGCAGCTGTTTACAAGCAAACAAACGCCGTTCAACATCTCTCGACTTCAACTCGTACGGCACCCAATTTCCTTGCTTCTGAATCATTCCCATGGTTTTGAGACGTTTTGAAATAGCTTGTTGAGTCACTCCTAATGATCGTACCAATTCTCCTTGATTTTGACACGAGTCTTGATCAAGTAATGCCTTCAATTCTGCATCTTCGAAAACCTTCTCTTTTCCACTGCTATGCCGGGCTTCGACGTCAAAATCACCGTTCTTGAAGCGTTGAAACCACTCACGACACGTTCTTTCACTAATACCTCACCATAGGTGTTTGAGAGCATTCAATGAGCCTCAGCCGCAGATTTCTTCATATTGAAGCAGAAAATTAAAACCTCCCGCAAATGACGAGAATTTGGCTCGTAAACTGACATTTTCAATCGAGAATAACTTTATGATGTCACAAATCGACTAATGTTTCTATGGGGTTATGTTGACAGATGCCCAAGTTTATTGTATGACGTCTATGATCTATTTATTTCGACCATCACTTACCGCTAAAGTCATCTATAAGAAAATGGCTGAAGCAAAGTTGTACACCTAATAAATATATGAGCATTTTACTTTAATTTTAAAATAAATGACATTGTTTCTTAAAAAAGAAAAGAAAAAACGATTTATTCAAATACAAAGTATTTTAATATTCATATCAACAAAAAAAAAAAAAAAATTTCTTGCTACAGTCTATTTAGGCCTGTAAAACTAAAATTTACGTAGTAAGAAATTAAAATTCAAAATTGTTTAAAGTTTTATGGGTTATCATTATTTATTTATACATCATTAATGCTATGGGAAATGAACATGGGAATTTTTTGGAAGAGCAACTCCGCTACTAGGTTGTTCATTACCTTGGTAAAATATCTATAGAAGCCTCAAAAGATGAAAAATTCTCATAATCATTTATATTTTTGTTCATCTGAACTAAAATAAACTACACATTATTGTAAATAATTTTCGGATATAATCCATTAAAATAGAGAACATAAAGGATTAAGCTGAAAACTAGATCAGTTCAAATGTTACAAAATAAAGATACCGAAAGATATCTAGGCTACATAGACTATGTATAGCATATGCATAGACTATTTGATGACATCTCTCGATTCTTATAGTTTTAAATTGTCAACATTTTGAATCTATAAATGTTTGGCCAGGTGGTGTCGAAGTTGAACCAAGAGAAGGGAGCATCCGCGGGTCAAGTCCTGAAGAAGCTCGGTTTCGGTGGTGTGTGGAAGGGCTTGGGACCGAGAATCATTATGATCGGTACCTTGACTGCCGCGCAATGGTTTATCTATGACGCTGTTAAGGTTTGGTTACGTATGCCTCGTCCACCACCACCTGAGATGCCAGAATCTCTCAAGAAGAAGTACGGCCTGGCATAAGCGCAGTGTGATAGGCACATTGCTAACCGAATCATTTCACTCGATCGTCGATTAGAAAAAGGGAAGCGTATAAAGCAACTTCAATTTCTCATATTGTACGTCATTGAACGATATGTCCTATTTTATTTTGGAATATTTATTCTGCATTATATAACAGCGTCAACGCAAGGCAACACTGCCGCAAGATTAGAGAAAATAATTGTGTCTTACAAATAGAAAATATAGGATGCTAATTGTGCGGATTCTACTATTGAAGGCACAATCGGTTACCTAGAGTAACCGTGACATTGTACATAGGGTGATCGCTATAAATAAACAGGCCGATTACTCAATCACATACTATATTGCTTAATATTTCTCCTTTTTCCAAAATATAACGTAAATTGGTAATATGACGTCGAAACGCAGAGAATGCAACATTTTACAAGATACATCGCTGATTAATAAAATTGTAATAAGAAAATGGAATTTTAATTTATTAACCATATTGGACTGCAATAGCAAAAATAGAATTTATCTCGTGTAATGTGTATTGGGTAAAACTTTACTAGAGGCGATTTCATCGATTTCAACAACCTTGACAAATGTGGTCAAGATCATGATCCTGAGTAATAATCAAAAGATTTTAATTGTCGCTCGTAAAAGTCATTAACAAAAAAAGTTAAATTTTACTTAGATTAAATATCGTATTATTTGTGTTCTACAGTCTGTTATTACATATACATACGTTGTCATGATCAAAATATATATAAAATATAGAATAGGCTAACAACTTTGTGTGTGCGCTCCGAAAAAGCTGTACCTGTAATTAATTAAAAAGCTAATCTATGTAAACTCACTAAGTGAACTTATGTTGTTTGTGTAAAAACCTCACTTTGCGTGGAAAATTTTAAATCCAATTCCATATAACTACGCGAAATGTGGTCCTAATCCAAACTTATTTGTTTAGTTTGTCGATGGTTGAGTCGTCCTACCAGTAGTGGGAGCAGAGTGGGGGATGGGCAGAACTTACTGCATCCACACATATACTTTATAACGCAAAGTGAGACCCCACATAGATTTATGATGCTCCACGCAAAAAATATACATTGTATTACTGTTCAAAATATAAGAAAGAGAATAATTAACTTTGAATAATATTTTACGGCTAAAACCTATTGATTGTTACTCAGAATAATGACAATATACATCAAAGTTATTGAAATTTGAGTTTTACCGTATAGTGAAATAAACTAATATTTTCGTGTATGTTCTTACGTATATAAGATTCAATAATATGAATCTAAAATATATCAAAAGTTCTTTTTGATTCGCAAATTAATAAATAACTATATAAATCTTGATCAATAAATTAAATTTATTTTTACAAATGTGTAAGACACGAATTATGTTTATTTATTTGTAGAATTAAAAAAACAATTTTTTAAACGTTATCCATATATGTATATTATTGAACCAATGTATGTACAGTGAGATAGAAGTTGGAAAAACTGGCCAAAAGTCAACCTTAAAATGTGAATGAAACAAATGTAGTTTCATATTGTAATAAAATGGAGAATCTCTAATTAAATTATATAAAGGCTTCATCAATTTATTTCGATTTGGCAAGGCAATGAAAATAAAAAAGACACTGAATTTGTTTTGTGAGCTATGTAGCATAAGGTCTGTTTGCATTGCATGAAATCCCCAAATATTTTTGCACTTAAAATGATAGATATATATATATATATATATTTGGCTTTGAAAAGAAAGAAAGCGAAGATGCCGAGTGCAAAAAATGCGAACAACACGAACAGACCTATTTTTTCGACAAATCCAAGAATATTTGTCAAATTTAAAATGTTATTAATTTTTGAGATACTGGTGGGAAACGACAAAATAAAAATGTGCAAAAATATGCATATGAGAACCGAAGAAGACAACCATCAATACATGTGATATTAGTGCGTCGTCGTATGTCGCGAAAACAAAAATTTGCATAAGTTGAAAAATTTTAGAAGTTTGGTGAAAAATACCTTGTTTGAAAAATAACAAAAAACTTTTGTTATTATGCTTCTATTTCCACTCAACAGTCAGCTATAAGTACCTAAAAAATTAATAACATTTTAAATTTAAAATATTCTTGGATTTGTCGAAAATATGTATATAGCTCATAAAACAAATTCAGTCTTTTTCACTTTCATTGCCTTACCAAACCAAAATAAACTGATGAAGCTATTATATACATAATTTAGTTAGAGATTCTTTATCTTATTTACAATATAAAATCACATTTGTTTTATTTAAATTTCAAGTTTGACTTTTGGTCAGTTTTTCCAACTTCTATACCACTGTATATACACTGATTCAACAGTATATATCGATAATATGTCAAAAATTGTTTTTTAATTCTATTAATAACATTTTAAATTTGACAAATATTCTTGGATTTGTCGAAAATATGCTGCATAGCTCGCAAAACAAATTCAGTGTCTTTTTTATTTTCATTGCCTTGCCAAATCGAAATAAATTGATGAAGCCTTTATATAACTTAGAGAATCTTCATCTTATTTACAATATAAAACCACATTTGCTTCATTCAAATTTCAAGGTAACTTTTGGCCATTTTTCCAACTTCTATCTCATTGTGCAATGTAGTAGAATGCGTTAAAAAAAATTAATTTCAACATATAGAGCAAAACAATTCACAATTTTTCATTTCTAAGTACAGCGTCAGAAAATATCCATTGCAAGTACATTTATATCACCTTACTTCCAATGCAATCTTTTCAATGCAATATTAATCATGTATATAACAATACTGTATTTTACATTGCATTGTACAAAATTAATAGCAAAAAATATAATTCTTACGTTTGTATCATTTCACAAACAATATAAGTATCTTGCATAGAGGAAAATAATAAATATGCAGTTGCATTTTATAACTGCATATTCATTCCTCCATTTTACATTAATATAACAATAGTTGTAACAAAAAGATATATATTTTATACATTAGGGTGGGCCGAAAAAAAATTTTTTTAAATTGATTAGCAATACCTCCCAAAAGTTAACTATGGACCTCAATATGATTTGGGTAAAATTTCATCGAAATCGATTAATACCTTTAGGTTATCCCTCGACTTTGAAGTTAGTATTTATGCATTTTTTGGATACACTGTCAAAATTCGGAAAAATATTTAAATTTCAATACAATTTGAGATGCGCTCGGGAAAACGCTATTAGCGCTATTTGTGTCATTCTATTCTTGTTTTATGTCTAATAAACAATGAAGATAGAATGACAGAAGTAGCGTTAATAGCGTCTCCCCGAATGCACCATTGATACTACTTGTTCTTTTTGGTTGCTGAACACGAATCTGAGGTCAGAAGTCAGAAGTACACATTTCAAAATGGTGGATCCAATATGACAGAGTGAGTAAAAAGTCCCGGACCGGTGAAATATCTCGAAAACTAAGCATTTCTGAAAGAAATGTTTCCTACAAAAGTTATAGGGTTTTAAATGATCCATTCACTGATCTGGTCAGCCTGACCTTGGGTGGCGTTACCAAGGTCAGGGTCACATCGATTGTTTTAAATGGCATATCCTATTTTTGATTCCAGAATCTAACAGCTGATATCGTGAGCTTTCCAAAACACTATAATAAAGTTATTTTTTATTGAATACTTTTCGCGAGTTATAAGACTCGAAGGTTACAGTATCGCCAGCATTAGCATTACGCAAGGTGTCTGACTGACGGCTAAAACCTCTTGAATATTATTCAGGATCATGTCCTGGATAACATCAAGATCAAGGCCATTGGAGATTGTACCTCTTATTTCTATATTTACATAAAAATAAATTTTTAATAATCTGAAAAGTACTCAATAAAAAATAACTTTATATAATATATATATATATAAAATTTTTAATTGTTTATAGAATATTATATTAAATATACTTCCGATTTGAGAGAGGTTTTATGCTTTAAATAATTTTTTCTTTATATTTAACTCTTAATTGCCCTATACACTCTTGATATTATTGTTTAAATTAAGAGTCCTTTGTTTTTATAATAATTTAAAAAATAACTTTATGTAGTGTTTTGGAAAGTTCTTTACATCGGCTATTAGAGTCTGGAATCGAAAATAAGGTGTGCCATTTAAAAAATCAATATATTTGATAGACAGAAGGATTCTTCTTATGTGTAAAAATACAATAACAATAATAAAGGGCAAAGTAAGAGTCATCAATTAAATAAAAATAAAAATAAATTCAAATAAAACGTCTAGTTTCAAACATAAAACATATAATTAGTTAGAAACATGAAACGTCAGGTACCACCGATATAAATGTATATGTATAAACTAAGAAATTATAATATTACAAATTTCGGCTGCCAGATTGAGCCCTCTTCAGACAATTTACGCAAAGGTCGATGTGCAGATGAATTGTCGAAGATACACGCATATTCCTCACCATATAAGCCTGAGTGAGTCTTTATGTAGAAATCGACATTGTTCGCACACGATTGGACAGTCAAATGCGTTCAATGTCTAGAAAGAACGTCGTAGAAAGAATGTCGTAGAAAGAACTAATCAATATAAGAAAACATTTTCTTATGAAATACTAAAAACAATAAGAAAAGCAGCATAACAAAATTCTAATAATAATAAAAACTCACCAAGAGGCCATATGTAAAATAGTTAAACAAGTTCATCGTTATAAGTACAAAAATTAAAGTCTGAATAATAAAAACAGCTAATAAAGCATCAAGTTGTACAATAAATTAAACCATACACAATATATGCACTTTGATAGATAACAAATATGTAAGATAAACATTATGTCAATTACAAGCTAAAATGTACATTCGCAAATACGGATCGATACAGACTGAGAGAGGAGACGGACACAATTTACAATTGTAAATAAAGTTTGACTCTGTGATACTGGCAGTCCGTCTTCTCTCTCAGTCTGTGTCTATCCGTATTTGCGAATGTATATTTTAGCTTGTAAATGACACATAATGTTCATCTTACATATTTGTTATCTATCAAAATGCATATATTGTGTATGGTTTAATTTATTGTACAACTTTACGCTTTATTAGCTGTTTTTATTATTCAGACTTTAATTTTTGTACTTATAACGGTGAACTTGTTTAACTATTTTTTTCGGAAATGCTTAGTTTTCAGGAATTTCCCAGTCCTGGTACTCATCCTTTGTGTCGTCATATTGTCCGCCATTTTGAAATGTGTACTTCTAACCTCAGATTCGTATTTAGTGACCAAAAAAAGAATGATAGTTCCAAATTATATTGAAATTCAATATTTTTTCAAATTTTAACACATGTATTAAAAAAATGCATAAATACTAATTTCAAAGTCGAGAGGCAACCTGAAGATATTAATCGATTTTACATATGGCCTCTTGGTGAGTTTTTATTATTATTAGAATTTTGTTATGCTGCTTTTCTTATTGTTTTTAGCATTTCATAAGAAAATGTTTTCTTATATTGATCAGTTCTTTCTACGATAGACATTGAACGCATTTGACTATCCCATGCGAACAATGTCGATTTCTACATGAAGACTCACTCAGGCTTATATGGTGAGGAATATGCGTGTATCTTCGACAATTCATCTGCATATCGACCTTTGCGTAAATTGTTTGAAGAGGGCTCAATCTGGCAGCCGAAATTTGTAATATTATAATTTCTTAGTTTATACATATACATTTATATCGGTGGTACCTGACGTTTCATATTTCTAACTAATTATATGTTTTATATTTGAATAAATAATATTCGTAAAGGACTCTTAATAATAATAAAAATCAAATATAAAACAAGGCATGTAAGAGTCAATACTAACGCACAATATTAAAAAATAATCAAAATTCTATTACATTAAATCATTCTATTACATAAAATTCCATAGCAAAATATAACATGTTTCGGTCTTTGTATTAGACCCTCTTCAGATATATGATAAATATAAAATTTTAACATTACTTCGAAAACGCTGAATAAAATTCGATAGTAAACCACGTCAACGAATGAACATAAACCAAATGTATCGAAATTGCTTGACAAAAGGTTGGATGGCCAATTGAACAGAATCTTGTTACGAGGAACCTTGTTACCATAAGCGATTAATTTCCGAGATGCTTCATATAAAAGAACAAAAGAATAGCATCAATCTTCAAACCGACACTGAGGGCTTAC